CCCTTGCTCTAAGTTTTGCATTTAGATATGCCGTTCAATTCACAGTCTCTTATATATAAACAGCACTACATGCCATGGAGCCAACTGGCTTTTATTCTTGGTTACTTTTCCACTTGTTCTTTTAATTTCGGTATTTCCATTTCTTCTATATTTTCTTTTGGCGTCCTTTTTTGTCTTCCCTATTTCTCCCACATGTAATATTTTTAGAAATGCATTTCTTTTCCTTGGCTCAGTAACACGTGTTCCAACAATATAATTATCTATGTCCTAGTTTTCTGTGTTAGTTTGGGTCAAGTTAAAACTCTACAAAACAATAACACGACCAGTCCTAACATATCTATATTTCAGAGACCTGTTTCGAAAAAAAGTACTGAGGTCAATCGATGGAGCAGTGAAATTACCTAACTAGAAAAACGCTTCTTAATAGGCCCATTGACCAGAGAAGAGGAAGATTCGGAAAAAGTTCCTTAATAAAATTGATGAAGACATTAGAAATATAGGAATACGTATTTGACGGAGGAAGGCGATAGATAGGAATGACTAGAGAGAAATAATATTAAACAACAGATGCAGGAGAATTTAAATACCGAAATATCAAAAATCCTTAAAAATAAAAATGAACCGCTGGAAAAGTGGAGTGAAATTAAAGAAGAGATTAGGACTTCAAGCACTAAGTTTTTACTACCTGATAAGAGAAAAAAGAAAGACTGGATGACTGCAGAAATCCTTGACATGATGGAAGAGAGACGGATATATAAAACTAAAGATACTGCCAAATACCGTGAAACCCATAGACGAATAAGAGATGAGATAAGAAAAACTAAAGAGAAATGGTTCTCGGAGAGATGCGAAGAAATCGAACAGTGCAAAAGGTATACGACTATCACAATATGCATAAGAAGATAAAGGAACTCACAACAAAGAAAAGCTACAATATTTTATCGAAAGGGCTGTGCTATGATAATGGAAATCTACAACTAGACCCCGACAAAATAGTTAGAATCTGGGAAACTTATGTGGAACAACTGTTTAATGATGACCGTCCTAGTGGGTATACACTGAGCAATGATGATACTGGCCCTTCTATTCTAAAATCAGAAGTGGAGAATGTTATAAAGGGTCTTAAAAATAACAAAAGACCAGGCAACGATAACGTATACAGGGAAGTATTGAAAATGCTGTGCGAAACAAACAGTCAATTTCTAGACTGACTAGTCAGACTCTTTAACAATATTTATAACAGCGGGGAGTTTTCTGAAGACTGGCTAGAGTCAACTTTTGTTGCCATACCGAAAAAACCAAAAGCAAAGTCTTGTGATCAACATCGGATGATAAGTCTAATTAACCACATTTCGAAGGCATACACCAAGGTTATTTACAACAGAATAAGCAAAAAATGCGAGGATAACATTGGAGATTCGCAGTTTGGGTTTCGGATTTCTCTTGGGACAAGAGAAGCACTTTTTAGTCTACTGAAACAAAAACCAAAAACAAAGTCTTGTGATCAACATCGGATGATAAGTCTAATTAACCATATTTCGAAGGCATACACCAAGGTTATTTACAACAGAATAAGCAAAAAATGCGAGGATAACATTGGAGATTCGCAGTTTGGGTTTCGGAATTCTCTTGGGACAAGAGAGGCACTTTTTAGTCTACAGGTACTCATCCAGCGCTGCAGAGATATGAACAAAGACGCTTTATAGACTACGCAAAAGCATTCGATAACGTAAAGCACGAAAAGATAATTGAAGTTCTCTATAAGATTGGAGTCGATTACAGAGACATTCGAACAATAGCGAGTCTCTATTGGGGTCAAACAGCTAAAGTGAAAGTAGGATCTACATTGACCAATAAAATTGAGATCAAGAAAGGGGTACAACAGGGCTGTATCTTGTCTCCTATTCTCTTTAATATATACTCAGAAGAAGTATTTAAGACAGCGCTGGAGGAAAGCACAGAACGCATAAAGATAAATGGAGAAATAATTAATAACATAAGGTATGCTGATGACACTGTGATTCTAGCAAGTAGCATGGACGAACTGAGTTGCCTAATGAGTAAGATACAAAAACAAGTGCACAATACGGACTCAGACTAAATATCACAAAAATCAAATGGATGTTAGTAAGCAAAACCCAACAACCACCACAGCAACTGATATTAGACAATGAAAGAATTGAACACGTGGATTCGTACATCTACTTGGGAACAACAGTTAACTCAAATTGGGATCAAGCGAAGGAAATACGTATAAGAGTAGAAAAGGCAAGGGCATCGTTCACTAGCATGAAGCAAATTTTCACTTCTAAAAGCTTCACCCTACCTCTCAAAATTCGAGTTTTGAAATGTTATGTATTCCCGGTTTTGTTATATGGAATGGAGGCGTGGACAATGACCGCAACATTGATGAAAAAAGTAGAGGCCTTCGAAATGTGGTCTTACTGACGTATATTACGTATATCCTGCACTGAGCACGTGACCAACGAAGAGGTACTACGCAGGAATAAGTATAAAGAAAAGAAAGTTGGAATACTTGGGTCACGTTATGAGACATAATAAATATAGAGTACTACAGCTGATCGTTCAAGGGAAAATAGACAGCAGAAGGGGTCCAGGGAGGAGAAGACACTCGTGGCTCCAAAACTTGCGGCAAAGGTTCGGATTGTCATCTGCTGAACTATTCAGATCTGCCGTAAACAAAGTCAGAATAGCCATGTTGATTGCCAACGTTCGGAATGGACAAGGCACATAAAGAAGAAGAAGAAAAAAGAAATTCTTGAGAAGACTAGGATTCACTCAGGGTCCAGAAAGCCAGAATGTGTCTTTCATTTACTATGTGCTAACACAAGTCTTCATTAGCAAAATATTTAAAACAATTACAGGGAGTTTTAAGCTAAGTAAAAGTACCTACTAGACAAGTCATCGTTTCTTTTGAATTGTATTTGCTTTTTATGAAGTTGTATATGCTTATTTCGCCATAGAATATCTCTTATATCTAAGGATCCAAATAAGGAATTGCTTGGTACAATTTGTTCTAAACGCTGACGCTCACTGTCTTCTGTACTCGGTCCAGATACTGAACGTTTACTGTTTTCTATACTGGGACTAGATACTGACTCAAGAACTTTCGTTATCGCTGCAGAAACTTCACTTTTAATTTCTGCACCCAAATTTACGCTATGCTAATTTTATTTCTATTGCCGATTCACCATAGCCTGACTAACATTGATGGCTTGTTCATTTTCCAAATGTAACATATTTGTAAGTAGTATTGGAAGAATAAATAAAATCAGGAACCAGCTGGTTTCTTCTTCAGTTTGCTGGATAGATTTGTGATCAGTCAACGAGCAAGCCCTCTTTAGTCAGTGGTAAATTATACTCGTTAAATGAATACACAGGTACATCTGGCCAATTGTTTTTAGTATATTCCCACCAAATGTATACACCACCACCCAAGATAAATTATGTAAGTTTATAATCTACTTGAACAAATATATGCTCAGCATTATTAATGTCAGATTTGATTTGATTAGTTTCAAAAGGTTTCGTAACAAAACTAAAACTCCTATTCGCTATGAAAACGACATTCAAAGACCTATCACGTATAACACTCCAATAAGAAAAATAGATGATAGCTAGGTCAGAAGTAATGAACAAAAAGCTGAATATTTTGAATACATTCACCCATCAGCTACCTAGGCCACAATCCATGGTAATTTTAAAGCATAACCTACCCTAATCACAAAGTTTCTCGATGGTTTTCGAATTTATAACTCTTTTTCTCTCACTTAGCGTTGTTAAAAAGTCCTGCATCAGCTAAGTGCCTAGTTTTTATCGTATTTTTATCGTATATTAATTCACTTCATAGTCATATTGAATTTACAATAGAAACAGAACAAAATCAATCTATAAATTTTTTAGATTTAAAAATTATCAGATCTAAAAACAAACATTACTTCTTCATATTTCACAAACCTACCCATACTGACATGATTATACACAATTCATCATCCCCTCCAACACAACATAAACTGGTAGCATATAGTATGTTACATAGATTAACAGAAATTCCGATGTCAAAATACAACTTTGGGACAGAATTAAATATAATTTAGCAAATAGCAGTAAACAACGGATACAATGAACAAACAATTAATAAAATGTTAAATCAAAAACTACATAAGAAAGCCCTGAAATTAGTATTTCCACCACCAGAGAAAAATCCCAGTACCTTCTGTTCGATTACATATACAGGCAAAATTACAACAAAAATAGCTAAACACATAAAAAAGAAAGTAATAACACCAGCTTTCCGAACAAATAACAACCTAGGCAAATATATCAAAAACAACAAGAGCCAAAATAAAAAACACTTACACAGTGGTGTGTACAATACTGTACAAACTTAAATGTGGCGACTGCCCAAAAACTTACATCAATCAAACTGGTAGAAACTTTAACAAACGAATAGCAGAACATAAAAGTGCTTTCAATAATAGAAAAACAGATTCTACATACGCACTTCACCTTCTAGATCACAATCATTCTTTTAACGACGAATTTAAAATCCTTCACATTCAAAATAAAGGCCTTAAGCTATCCTTGTTAGAATCTATGGAAATCAACAAATTAAAAAACACATATATAATTCTGAATGACGAACTTGAGACAAACAGTTCTCCCCTCCTCAACCTATTTCAGTAGAGACTATAAAGTGTAAACGCATGCCAAAAATAGATCACTTGAGAAAGGCAATCAGCCGAAACAGCTGTAGTGATAATAGTTAAAATAAATTTTTGTGGAAGTTTGAAAACAAAGTTTTTAATGTTTTATTGTTAGATAGTAAATGGTTAAAAAATATTTAAGATAAATGCCTCAAACTTCTATTTTCATGTAGGTATTTAGTAAGGTGATGCAGGACTTTTTAACACCACAGTAATAGTAAATAAAGTATACAGGTCAAGAACTCTGAAATAGACTAAACAAACTATAATTACCTAATGTCAGTAAAGAGGTGACACCAAGAGTGACTCGCGCTGGTATAGCTTCGGGCTTGATCCAAAATGATATCCATGACATCACGACGATCAAAGCGGACGGTATATAGGTGTGAAACAAATGATAGCCAAGTCTTCTTCTCAAATTAAAGACTACTGCCAGGCAAGTGAAGTTTCCTGTAATCAATAAAAATTGCCATTGGTAACGCTGGTGTATTATTTCGCTATTGCGTAAACTAAAGACAGTTTAATTGCAGCGTGGCGATACGAAAATGATCATGAATTTATTGTAATGAAATAAGGAAAATGATACAGGTTTGTATGATAAATTAAGTGAATTAACTTATAATGCCATATAATTCTCAGCGAAGAATAAAAATGTCTCGTAAAATTTAGTAAATTGAGTAATATATTATATAAAATCAATTATTTATAGTTGATAAATCTTTAATACTTATTTTTAATTATTTATTAATTAATTGATGGTCTTGATTTATGACGTGTGACTATATTTGTTTCCTAATAATATTATTTTTCTGTTTAACCTACTTTAGTTTTTGTTCTAGCTGGCCTATTCTCGGTTTTTCCGTGCTGTTTTTTCTTCCAAATCTCCATACAGTTTGATACAACTATTTGTCAAATATTCACAGTAAATATACTTTGAAAGAACGACAACAAAACGTTGTTGAATCCCTTAATAATACTCTGAAGTCGATTAAAGTGGCTGCAAACAAATGATCCAGATGATAGACGAACATATGCAAGATCAAACAGAGAAGTAAAAAATTTAGTAACTAAAGCAAAAAATATTTGTTGGGAAAGTAAATGCGAAAAACTCAACAAATATATAGGGTCAACAAGATCAAGAGAAGCATGGAAAACGGTAAAAAAATCTGAGAACAAACAGAAAAGAAACGAGTAAAATAGTTTTAATAGAAGAAAGATCTTGGATCGAACACTACTCACAACTTTTGACTGAAACAAGACCTCAATTCACGAACATCGGTAGAACAACATATGAACGGGAATTCAGTGAAGACGATGAAATAACAGTACAGGAAGTCGAGAATGTAATACGAACTCTAAAAAATCGGAAGTCATGCGGACCACAAGGTATACCAAATGAATTATTAAAACATAGCCCACAAGTATTACGGGAATTACTGGCGTATGTCTTCACCTTATTCTATAATGGACACGACTTACCACCGGAGTGGACAAAAGCACATATTAACAACATATACAAAAAAGGAGATAGAAAAAGTTGTTCAAATTACAGGGGGCTAAGTGTCATAAATTTACTCTCAAGACTGTATGGAAAAATAATAAAAAATAAAAAAAACCAGATATAAATCATGAATAAAATGACTGATATAATTTAAGAACATGACTGAAAGTAAGTATTTATTACCTGTGGAATACTCTATGGTGCAATCAGTTGTGAAGTTGTTGGAGATGTCCAGCTGAGGCAGTTCAATATCTGGATTAACAACCAGAGGATCCGTCATATTCCATATGAACACCAAGTCGTGATCTGTATGAGATACTGTGAAATGAAGAAGTTTTGTACAATGTTAAAATGTTCTAAGGCACATGATTGATACTTACAACTTTCTATCATCATTGAACATATTTGAGTGTCGTGTGGGTAAGTTTCGAATTTCATGGCACAGGACAGCACTAGAGTTAACCTATAAATATTGAGAGGAATAGATAAAAAATGCAAACAGTCCTAGTGTACAAAAATTATAATGTATATTGATCAAATTCAATTTCAAAGATATTCTTACTTTCACTACATTCAGTTATTCAGTTTCACAAGTACTTTAATCTGGGGGTCGTTAATTCAATTTCACCTCGTTCTCTAACATTGTATTTATACGATTTTACCTTATTCATACCTATCATATAGTCTTATATACGCATAGGACTTCCCTATTAGCCGCTGGAACCCGCCGCATTTCAATGAAAAAACTTTCTAACCCAGTCTCTCCTGCGTACAGTCTCATAGCTAGGTCAGAATCACATTCACGGTAATCTTTACTTAGAAAGTAAAGCATTTCTTTATATAAACTTTATGGAGTTTTCTTCAATCAATCAATACTCTTATCAGTCTTTACATACTTATTTTCATCACTTAAGTTTTTTGTGACACCCTCCCTAAAACGAGTTTTCATTAACTGGCATTGGCATTGAGACGCGATTCAATAAACTGCAGAAATGTTTAGGATGTATCAAGTTCTCTCAAAGGACCCTCAGGTAAGTATTCTCTCACTTCAAAAGGAGTCACGTAAAAAGACTGAAAAAACTTTTCAGGGTCTCTATTTGTTTCTATATAAATTTGTAAATACAGCATACAGTGATTTAGTTATGTAAGAGAAGTTTTATATCTAAACATGGCAAAATTGGATAGAAAAAAGCTAAATCCCTACGACAGGTAAGTCTGATGTAATTTATTCTGAAGACTCCCAAAGAATTACTACACAGGCAAGGCACATTAGGGATGGTGTAGAACAGGACTTTCTACAATAAGAGCGTTATTGAGGGACTTAATACATATGTGTACAAAAAATAGATTAACCCTTTCAGTCACAACTTTTTTTGAGTTATGGGAAAATTCTCATATTTGGTATATAAAATAAACTATTTTTGTTGATAATTTTAACATCATTTTTTTTGATATGTCATATGTTACTTGGCATATGACATATCCATGTTGATGGACATTATGACATGAAGCAAAATAAAATAAACCTGAAGATTTTAGAAATTTATTTGAATATCATTAGAATGACGAAATAAACAATATTCTTTGTAAATATCGAATTAATCATTTTACATGAAATTTAAAAAAACAGTTACGACCGCTTACAAAACATAAGTGAACATTACATTTCACGCAAAATGTATGTGATTTTCCCTTACAGTTCTCCATTTTGCAACGTGTACTATCTTTTTTTCATCTATTTTCGGAAAATGTCCATAGCTGTCGAACCGTAATTCAATATATGGCCTTGCTTCAGATTTGGTTTTTTTATTATTTGGTGTACCAGTATTTTCTTGACCAGATGGTCTGCCTCTCTTTGGTGGAACCTAATGTAAAATGAGATGTTACCCAATACTCATTCTAAAGTCCCACAAATCCAGGATTTTATTGTGTTGTACGCCTAGCAGTTCAGCTTGTTTTCTATATTCCAACTAGGAATTTACTATCGCTATATCTATAGCATGTGTTATCATACGTACAGTCCATTTTCTGGATCGTCTGTAGGATCTGTAAACGCTCAATAAAAAATCTAACTTACCAACACCACCCATGTTGGAATTGTAAAGCGATATGGCTTTCGGTCTAGATACATTTATATACTCTTTCGACGTCTTATCCCATCTCTGGCACAAATCCATTTTTCCCGCTGCAACAAAATTTGAAGCCACTAAAACTGGTTTATTGTCGAACCATTTTGTAATCACAATTCCATCTTCACTAACCGCTACATCAAAACTACCTCTACCATTTCTTTTTAGATCTTTATCAGATGTTAGTTTTGGTCCAAAAAATCGGTTTATTCTAATTGTTCCGACAGCCATAATAGATTTATTGTTCAACCATTGAAAGAGGTGATAAGAACTAAAAAAATTATCAAAGTACAAACCGTGATGAGTTTCTTCAATTCTCTCAACTAGCTGCACCACAGTTCCAGCTCCTTGTCCAAACTGTGCATAATTTTCTTTTATTTCCGTTTCAGCACCTTGATATATGATGAAATCGTAAATGGTATCAAATTGTCCAGCCAATATCCATAATTTGATCACCCATTTTTTCGGTTTATTTGGGAGGTACTGCTTGACATTGATCTGTCCCTTGAATGGAACAATTTGCTCGTCAATGCACAAATTTGTTTCGGTTTGAAGTTCCCTACAACGATTTCTAATGGAATTATATATTTCTCGGACTTTCCACATGCGATCTGTTTCGCCACCTCTTGCTGTTACATCTACTAAGTGAATGGTATTGCGCAACTTAGAGAAGCGATTGAATGTCATATTATCTTTTACAATTGAAATACCTGTAAGCTGGGACCAATACAGTCTTGCTCTTGGGAATTTTAGATTTCCCATAATAATGTGAATGCGTACAAATCGCTTTATTTCTTCTTTATCTGACGGAGAAAACCGAGTAATATTTTTTTGTACGGCATATAAGTTAGTCATTTCTGAAATCTTCTCAAACAGAGCATCAGATATGTATTTCATAAAACATTCAATAGGAGCAGGTAATTCATCAACTTGTACTTCTTCTGGAACAAACCACTGTACTGGCCTGGTAAGAGAAGTAATATTTTTTTTCCAACAAACATCTTTCTTATTTGTGAGTTTGAATTCTTTACAAAACTCTACCAGTCTCTCCTTTGCAGTTGTTTGTTTTTCAGTGGTTTGGTTGGAATTTTCTTTGGTTTTCATGTCCTCAGACATTGGTTGTTCTGTAGTCACTTCATTGGGATATTCTAGATTTTCTAACTCACCTCTTTCTGTTGACATCTGTTCTAGGATCAATCCGTCAAAAATAGTTTCCTCAATATCTTGGATATCATCGCCAAATTCTGAGGAAACGTCATTTAGATCCGCAATACTGTTGGCGTCATCAGCATCTGACAAACGTAATATTTCTGAGTCATCGTCTTTCATGAGTAAATCCAGAAGTTCATCCTCAGTCAAGGGTCGTGACCATCTCTTTTCTTTACTAGTTGACGGTAAACTTTCCATTTTATGGATATCTAAAACAACACGACCTTGCTAATTTTTATATGCATAAGTATACCTAAGTCATTTTGTCCATCTACATGGACATATAAATATACACCACTTTATAAGATATTGTCAGTCAACAGTTTGATACATAATATAAACACACTATACTAATGCTCTTTACTTACCCAAATCAGCAGGTATTTGTACGAAAAGACAAGTTTATTTAATAGAAATCGTTCCAATAACAAACAGGTGTTTTCACCACCACGACAGCGTGCTAAATGCAACCTGTTTTGTGTTTTATATGGCTTCACAAATCGACTAACAGATGGCTATCAATGTATTCAATGCTTTTCTTATGCATGTACCCACACATGGACAAAATGATTTGGGCGATAATAACCATCGATGTTTTAAGAAAATGCTTTGAAAATCGATGTCCATCGGTGTGGACACGATGACCGAAAGGGTTAAGGAAGTAGTGATTAGGAAAAATCAAGTTGAATCCAGAAAAAATTAATAGGTGTTCACTCTACAAGTATCCTTGATGAGACTGACCTCAAAGAATGAGACTGTGATTTTTTAACTTTCCTATGTAAATTGTGACTATCGTACTTTGACTGTAGAGTCTCAATTTCTTCGCATCTTTCCCTGGCTTCTTTTTCTTTCGCTTCTCTGATTTTCGTTATTATTAATATATTTCTGGTTTTATATTTTATATTTGTCTATTTAAGTGTTTATCCTTTACATTTTGCAATATTTCTGTAATATGTTTGATCGTTTTTTTCTTCGTTGGATTCTTCTCTAATTGTAGCCACCTGCTCGTTTAATGTGGCTTAAACTCTCTTCCTCTTATCAAGGTCTTTCAGCATACGTAGGTCGTATGATTGTGCTTTCCTTTTCTGCACTGTTTTGAGTTTGACTCGAAATACTCCCACCAGTGGAACGTGGTCTGTCTCCAAATCTGCTCCAGGATAAGCCTTGACAGATGTAAAGCTGTCTCGGAATCTTTTATTTACTAAAATGTAGTCTATTTGATTTCTAATAATTCTCCCGGGTCTGTCTTGAGGAGATTTCCCCTCAAGACAGACTAGAACTAACAAAATATTTTCTTTATCATATTCGTTTTTTTTTAACCAAAAATTACCAAGATTTGCTTTAAACGGAAAAGCGGAAACAAAAAAAATTCGGATCTATGAAAAACAACTTGCCCAAAAAAATAGTTCTTCCGCATTTCGAAATCTTTTCGATTTTTTTTCGATTTTGCATCTGCTGACAGTTAGTTCCGCATTTAATTTTTTTCTGATCTTTGTTTGTAAATGTGATATTTTTTTATTTTATTCAAATCCCAATATTTTCTTTGGCATTTCAGTTTTTACCTTAAATCGTTTTATAGTAAATTATGATGGGAATTTTATGAGTACTCGTTTTTATATGATTTTATTTAAAAGTTTTTTGTTGAGTATATTTAAATTACCCAACATTTCACTACTACAATTTTATCGAAAACCTTTGCCTAGTCTACCCCACGATTTTTACATCAAAGAAAAAGTGTTATTATCCATTTGATCTCTATACGTTTTATGACCGTGAGACATGTCACAATCAAGATTGCTCTACAAGATATTATAAATATTATATAAACGGTACTTTATTTGGTACATTATTTCAAATTATGTAAGACATTAAAATAGTAGACATATTTCGGTATTGAATTTTTTCTCCCACAGTCAAACTTCATCGCTGCAAGCTGTTTTAAAAACTGTTTTTAATAGATTTTTATACTAAATAAAGTTAAATATCAAACCAACACACATATTTTTGTGGAATATCAAAAATATGTCGACATAAATGTTGCAATAAATTCCAATTATCTCTGATATCCGATTTAGCATGGGTATTTTGTATTTCGTAGAGGGTGTTTGTTTGCTTTATCTCAAATTATATTGTTCGGCTGTACTTTTCTGGTATAACGCTATAAAATCGATATAAAAAAAGTATTAATGAAGAGATACATCATACTCACTTGGACATATACAACAAAGTTTTGTCGTGATACAACCACAGGTAGTGATTGGGTATCGTCATTTCGTGAAAAGTAACACTTTTTGCATTCTTAAAAAAACAATCTGGCCTCCAAATGTTATGCAACCACTCAACATCCAGGATCCTGTATTCTTCGCTCATATTTTCCGGCAGACGCAGCCTGGGATCTCTCCAACTTTGAGCTAGAAATATGTCGGTGACGTATGTCTGAAAATAGGTATATAGTAAGTTCATTACTTCAAATAATCATTTCTTTATTCTACATCAAAATATTCAATTAAGATTATTGCTTTGAACCCATAAATTTGTATGAATGCCATACTGTAGCAAATTGACGAAAGTGGGGTCAAAATTTTTCGAAAATCAAAGATTGCCCCTGCTATTGGTACCAATATTGTGTACGGCATTAGGTCGAAGGTCATAATTTTTGTATTATCCAAATTGTTAAATATGTACTTACAAAACATATTTAATGAAGCACTCAGTGATGTAGATAAAGGTGTATCTATAAAAGGGGGAATCAGTAATGGCATTATAGGAGCGTTCCATCTTGACTTAAAGTCTAATATATTTAATAGAAAGAACAATTATGTGATAGATCATTTATTTAGCTTCTTAACAGCACCTCCTATTTATATATTGGAATGCCAAAATATGTGAATATCAGAAAAATACGGAATCCCACACCTTCCTCGACTTAAAAGATTAGTAATTCCAACGTACCATTGATTCCTCGTTAATAGAATCTAACGAAAGAACTGTAACATGGAAATACACTATGGTTGGCTGCCCTTGTAGCTTTGGAGCCCTGTTTTTATCGTAATTTTTAGGCTTTATTGGCAGGATGTCTCGAAGTGACAAGCTGGTTTCTTCGATGTAATCATTGATTCTGTGTCTTGTGTGATTTGCGCCACTAAAAATAAAGAAAAAAAAATTATTATATTTCGTATTTGTATCAAAAATAATAATTTTTAAATGCAAATATAAAACTGATATTATTGATTTCAAATATAATATTGATTTCAAAACATTAGTCTTTGTCATCTTTGAAACAGTTGTGTGTCAAAAAGATTCTTGTCTAATGCCATCTTTTTCTGCTCTTTCTAAAAGCAGTCACAAGCATCTTTGAAGGTAACTAAAACTCTTACTTATAAATTTCACTTAATACTTCAACAGAATTATACTCTTACAACTAAACAAGAACAAACTCATAATAAAGATCCTACAAGTTTATGCTCCAACTGCGGATAAATCAGAGAGCGATATTGAAACTTTCTGCGAAGACCTAGATAACATTTTAAAGTTCATTAAAACGCAAGATGTAACAATTATAATGGGAGACTTTAACGCAAAGGTTGGGGAAGAAAAAGTAGAAGAATATACAGGAGGATATGGTCTGATATAAATGATGAACATAAATGATGAAACCTTACATTATAGTAGACTTATTTAACTCAGTATACAAAACAGGATACATACCGAAACAATAATACAGAACAATATCACTAATAAGTTACATTCTCAAATTATTCTTGAAAAGAGTACATGGTCGTATAAATAAAAAACTGGAAGAAGGAATAGATGATAGTCAGTTTGGGTTCAGAAACGGACTAGGAACCAGAAAAGCGTTATTTGCTTTTAATGTGTTAGCTCAAAGATGCATGGATATGAGTGTGGATGTGCATGTTTGTTACGTTGATTTTGAAAAAGCCGTTGACAAAGTAAGACATGAAAGATTAGTCCAAATTTCAAAGACAAAAAACATAGACCATAGGGACTTACGAATAATTACAAACCTCTACTGGAATCAAAGAACAGAAATCGTAATAGATAACGAACCCACTCCAGAAATTGAAATCAGGAGAGGAGTTAGGCAAAGATGTATTCTTCTTCTTCTTCTTCATCTAGCCATTCACGTCCACATCTGAACATAAGCCTCTTCAAGTATTCCTTTCCATTGTTTTTTATTGTACGCTACTTATAGCCAATTTTTCCCGGCAGTCCTTTTCAGATCATCTGTCCATCTCATAGGAGGTCTGCCTCTGGGTCTTTTGTGTTGGTATGGTCTCCAGGTTAAAATTGATCTGTGCCATTTGTTTAGATCGCTCCTAGCTACATGTCCAGCGTATTCCCATTTCAACTTTAATGATTTTTGCACCACATCGGTGACTTTGGTTTTCTGCCTTATCCATGTGTTTGTTTTCTTGTCCTTAAGTGATATACCTAGCATTGCTCTTTCCATCGCGTGTTGAGTGACTCTAAGTATATTCATATTCTTTTTTGTGATTGTCCATGTTTGTGCCGCATAAGTTAATATCGGAATAATGCATGCATCAAAAACTTTAGATCTAAGATGTAATTGAATTTGTTGATTTCTGAGTATATAGTTCAGTTTACCGAATGCTGCCCAAGCTAACTTTCTTCTTCTTTTTATTTTTAGGGTTTGAATTTCCCTATTTAGGATTATTTTTTGTCCTAAGTATATATATTCTTCAACTTTTTCTATAACTTTATCGTTTATTATTGTCACGGTGTCTTCGGAGTGCATGACTTTTGTTTTGTTTAAATTCATTTTCAGTCCTATTTTAGAAGATTCGGTATGTAGTTCTAAAAGTATGGTTTGCATTTCTTGTAGGTCAGTAGCTATCAAAATTATGTCATCTGCAAATCGTAGATTACTGAGGTAGCGGCCATTGATGTTTATTCCCTTATATTTCCAATTTAGGTTTTTAAAAACGTCCTCCAAAACTAAGGTGAACAGTTTGGGTGATAAAGTATCTCCCTGTTTGACTCCCCTGTTTAATGGTACAGGGTTCGTGTGTTCATTTTCATTTAGGTAGTATGTAGCTGTAGCTTGGTTCATAGTTTCTTTTTTTAAGTTAATATATCTGCTGTCTATTCTACAATTTTGCATTGTGTTTATTACGACCGTGTGTTCTATGGTATCGAAAGCTTTTTCGTAGTCTACAAATGCTAGGAAAACTGGAAACTTGTATTCGTTACATTTTTCTATTAATATTTTTGTGGTTAACAGGTGATCGGAAGTTGAATAGCCTTTTCTAAAACCTGCCTGTTCATATGGTTGGTATTCGTCTAATTTCCTTGTTAATCGAGTAGTTATGACTTTGGTGAGTATTTTAAACAGGTGTGACAGTAGGCTGATGGGTCTGTAGTGTTCCAATTTTCGACTATCACCTTTCTTGTGCAATAAGATTATTTTAGAGTTGTTCCAGCTCTTAGGGACTTTGCCCTGATGTAAACAACTGTCCACAAGTTTAGTTACAATTGCAATTAGTTCCTTACCTCCTTCTAATATCATATCTGTGGTAATACTATCTTCTCCTGCAGCTTTATTTCTCTTCATGTTTTCCAATGCTGTAGTTACCTCTGAAATTGTTACTTTTGGCATTATTTCTGATCCAACATTTTTTATTAATTTCCGTGCTGGTCTCATCTCATCATCTCGTTGATGTGATCTGTAAAGTTCTGTGTAAAATTCTTCTATTCGTGTCAGTATGTTTTCTCTACTTGTGATTTCATTTTCGTCTTTTCCCATTAATGACATCATATGACGTCGTCCTAGTGTCGGTCTGAGGCATTTCATACTCTTATTTTTTTCAATAGTTGTTGTTATTAATTTTTCGTTTTCTTTTCTTTTTTGTTGTCTGACAACAAAAAAAGGATGTATTATGTCCCCATTACTATTTAATGTATATAGTGAAACCATTTTTGAAGAAGCATTACTATCTCAAAGTGAAAGAGTATTAATTAACTAAAGATCTATTAACAACATAAGATATGTAGATGACACCGCAATTATGGCAAGCTCTGCTGAACAACTCCAATTACTGCTAAACAAAACAAACAGTTTCTGTGAAAAATATGAACTAAAAATGAATATAAAAAGAACAAATACATGATAATAACAAAGAAAACAAATATACCAACAAACATACATTTAGGAAATGTACCAATAGAAAGGATTGATAAATACATATACCTAGAAACCTGGATTTTAGACAATAATGATCAAACAACTGAAATAAGAGCCAGGATAGAAATAGCAAGAAATGCGTTTGTAAAAATGAAAACAATTCTCTGCTACAAAGAACTTAGATTGGAACTGAGAGTAAGAGCATTGAGATGCTACGTATTTTCGATACTGCAATATGGACTTAAAAGCTGGACATTGAAGCAAGAACACATAAATAAGTTACAGTCCTTTGAAAGGTGGTGTTACAGGAGGATGCTTAGAACAGCATGGACACACAAGAAAACAGCAGCAGTAGATATAGTAAAGGCAGTGATGATGATATCAAACATCAAAGACACGAAAGACAAGTATTGGGAAGATTTACAAAGAATGAGACAATGAAAAATACTTTTAGGTAACTATAACCATCGATGATATAAATATGTATTATATTAGTACAAAAAAGGACTACGTATTTTAACAGGAATACTATTGATACTTCAGGAACCCCACAGCAGATTAGCTGATATAGAAGAAGAAGCTTTACCTAAATTACTCATAAAACCATCAGAAAATGCAAGAAAATAATAACACAATTATATTTTATAGCTTATAAATATTAACCAACTAACGAAACGCATTCGATGTTATTAAAAAATGTTTATATATTGTTCCAACTATCGATTTTTCCTGTAAAAATACGTTCTTGACTTCCATTAAACGATCTTAAGTTGTTCTCATTTCAAGCTGGACGACTCATTTATCATTGAAAGCAGCCAATATTACCAAATTTCTTTCTAAAGGTTTTATTAACCAATACCTACAATTGTCGATGAAACCTTGGATATTACGAATCAGATATCTAAGAACAAAGTGTTAGCCAACATCCTCGTTTATAGCGTATAGTTCTAATTTCATACTAAGACGAAACAAACTTTCAACTTTAACATTTTAAATTTATGTATTAATTATTTTAGTCTATATTTTCCTCGGAGCGATCAGGCGGGATGAAAAATAAGTCTATAAATAATTTGAAGCATTATTTTCATTCTTTACATAACAAAACGATGTTAAATGTTATAGTCTCTGGTAATTAAGAACAAATCTTACGTACTTTCTCTGCTGTTGTAGATCTAGAAGCCTAGAAATATTTTTAAATTACTTTTTGCTATATAAGTTTTACAAAACATTCTTTGGATATATGTTGATTGTTTGACTATGGTTATGGTTAGTTTCATACCAGCTTTAAATTCCTCTTTAGTTTTTAGTAAAGTTTTAATAGGAATTTGAGTTCATGATCACATATTAGTCCATTTAAAGAAGTCATTATTATTATTTGTATATTTCACTTGAATACAAATTGTCTCTAATTATTTTTCTTTCTTGCTCAAAGATTTAAAACAATATATATACTAAAAACAGAAAATGAAACTTCTAAAATTACAGTTAAAAAAGAGTGGGAAAACTAACGTTATAAAAAAATTATTAAATGATCGTTACACCAACACTAGGATATTTTAACAGAAATTAAAGTTGCGTTTCTATTCCTCACTTTATATATATTGAAAAGGTTATGTTTTATTAATTTTATTTTTATTGATAATAAATGTTGTATTTTTAAAGTATGTGGTTCGTTGTTTGATTTAATATACCTCTGCTAGCTCAATTATGTGTTCTTAGCAATCTGTCACTGTGTGACGTCGACTCTGTAGTCTCCTGGTAGAGTTCAAACAGAAATTAAACCAAAATTTACTTTAGACTTTTGATAAATTAACCCAAATGAAGCACGTTATTTATTAATATTGAACAAATTTATTTTGAACAATAAAAGTCGTTTGCAACTTGGGTTGCCTTTAAAAATTTACAAAAATAGGAATCGTGTAAACCTTAATATGGTTTAGTGTCGTGACAATAAAAATCGATTACAAAATGTGGAGACTTTCTACAAATACCTGAAATCTAAATAAATATTGCAACTTTATAAAGTGTTTAAATGAACTATAAAGAAAAAGAAACTGAGCACTTTATTCCGCTGACTTTCAACTTGCATTCAAATATAATCAAAATTACA